TTGCTGCTTTCTGTCTGTGTGTGTGTGTGTGCGTGTGTTTACAAGTTTGGGTAATTTGTGTTTCGGGTTTAAGTTTAGACTTGTTCAGGGCTTCTGTTGCTAGTCGACCACGCGTGCGTCCCTGATGTCTGAACTTTCCTCGCATTAATCGCAGGTCGTGAGTGGGAAGAACTAGGCGGTCCGATCGTCCAGTTTGCCAGTACCTCGGGTGGCCCTGACTCAATCAGCATACCTCTCTGTATGAGTCTTTGAGGAACTTCATTGACACGGACGAATCCCCTCCCCCTAATATTCAACCCCTCCCCTACCCCCTAATATTAACGACTCCTCATCCAATATACTATAACCATAATGGCAGAATTTAATATAAGGTAGTAGGGGGGTTTTCTTATTAGGGGGAGACTACGTAGACCATGCAGCTTCTGAGTCAGACCAGTTCAAAATTCTGTCGGCTCGGACATGCCAGACCTCCTCTCCGTCCCGCCCAGCGGCTACAATCATCCGACTAAGCAACCTTCAATCTCAACACTGCCGTGCGCGGACTTGCCCTAAACCCTAAACCCTAGACCCTAAACCCTAACCCCTGCCTCGACCTCACACAACCCTTGAGACAGGGAGCGCAGCTTCTTTGCCGCGGTTGAAGGCCTGGACTTTGGCATTGCGCGTGCTCGGCGCCTGTCGCAGAAATGGTTTGGGGATGTTCCGGGCATCGTACAATCATGTCACAGCTCAGTGTTGCTACCTTATGGATTGCTTGTCACGACCATGAAGGTTCCCCTTCTCGTAGGAGACGACGTAAAGGCAGGGCTGGAGGAACGTTTTGCAAAGTTATTCCCTGTGAATAGTACGGGGCTTTTGCAATTCTCGAGGCAGCAATGTATGCCGCCACGATGACAAACGTAGTGCGTGTCAGCTGCGGGAACGGCCGGCTTTCATGAACACCAAAACTGACGTCATGACAAAATGTCTTCACAGGAGTCTTCTGCAAACTATGGCCCTTTTGAATTGGGGCAAGCAGGGTCGGCTGCTAGGGGCCATCTCTTCCGAACGAGGTCCCTTTTGATATTCGCAGATGTTGTACGAACACCCCAAATCAGAACGAGTCCCTCAAAAACTTCAGGGATTGCAGGATTGAGGGTTTGGGGGCCACAACTCAGGCCAGTCACAGACCGCTCGATGTACGACACCGTCATGGACTCATTGGTCGGCATGGCTCAGAGTCTGGGCTAAACCCTAAACCCTAAGCCCTAAACGATATCCATAGGAAGCAATGCCGCGATTTTGGCGACATACGCCTGGAGGACCCCATGATCATAAGGCCCTAATCACCCTAATCCCCAGTACGACCTCGGCAAGAGGTGTAAGCTCATGCTTCAAGAGGGGTCTCGCGAGGTTTTTGGGCTTGGGAAAGGGTCTAGAGGCTTTAGGGGGTCGTCGATGTATCGGATCACTGAGACCAGCGTGCACCCTACTCAAGCGACTCTTTTGAGCCGAAGAGGGCTGCGACACGTTCACGAGAATTCTTGGGTTTAGGGTTTAGGGTTTAGGGTTTAGGGCGTCGTGGGGTTAGGGGTTTTCTTTTCCTTCACCTTTGGTAGCAGAGGGGGTGCTGAAGTAGCCTGGGGGATGTCGACAACGGAGCCGGTTCAGTGGCTACGCAGCGAAGACTGAGGAGACATCAAGGACCCTAACCCCTAAACCCAAACCCTAAGCCTAAACCCCAAACCCCAAACCCTGACACCCCTACTGCCTGAACCCTAAACTCCAAACCCCAAACCCCAAACCCTAAACCCTAAACCCTAACCCTAAACCCTAAACCCTAAACCCCAGCACCTCTCAGTTGGCATGCGCACGGCCAAGCCTCTTTTTGGGGTGCGCTTCCATCTCACATTGAAGCCAAAATCTCGCGAGATCTATTGGCCCTGTCGTGTGTGGCAGCAGCTGCGGCAAACGCTGCAGCGAGTCAGCATTAAGCACCGGGAGGTTCTGGGACCTGGCTTTGGGGCTATTGGGGGGGTTTGGGGGGGTTTGGGGGTTTTGGGGGCTTGGGGGTTTGGGGGGTTGGGGGGTGGGGGGTTTTGGGGCTTGGGGGTTGGGGGGTTGGGGGTTTGGTGGGTTTGGGGGGTTTTGGGGGGTTGGGGGCTTGGGTGGGGGGTTTTTTGGGGGGTTTGGGGGGTTTGGGGGGTTTGGGGGTTTGGGGAGTTTGGGTGTTTGGGGGGTTTGGGGGTTTGGGGGGTTTGGGGGGTTTGGGGGGTTTGGGGGTTTGGGGGTTTGGGGGTTTGGGGGTTTGGGGGTTTGGGGGTTTGGGGGTTTGGGGGTTTGGGGGTTTGGGGGTTTGGGGGTTTGGGGTTGGAGCTATCAGGAAATCTGCTTGAGGGTTTTGGGACGTAGGGGGGTTGCAGGCTTTGGGATTTAGGGCAGTGAGCAGATCCCGTTCCCAAGTCTGCCTCGTAGTATGGCTGTTCTCAAACCAATGATACTTGGAAGACACGTACAACGTGAGTGCAAGTGTTTTTTCATCTCTAGATCTTGAACCAGCACAATTTGACATGCCAAAAGCCTAAGGCCCTACGCCCTAAACCCTAAATAAACCCTAAAACCCTAAGCCCGAACCCCAAAACCCCTTCTCTTCGGGAGGACAAGCAAGCGCAGCAGCATCCTTGCCCTCCAGCCATGAAATCCCAAAACCGCACTGAGGGTTTAGGGTGTGCCCCCTTATACGAACAGTCCTTCATAGGGAGTATAGAACCCCCCCCATTATGATCCCTATTAAGGACTCTTAGTATAACATCCCAAGTTCCGGGTTCTTGGGCTTACGCACCTAGTAGTAGCCACCCATTTGTCCCGGTGGTCGCATCCCCAGTCCTGGCGGTCCGGTTTTGTTGGCTCTTAGGGTTTTAGGGTTTAGGGTTTTAGGGTTTAGGGTTTAGGGCTTAGGGCTCTTGAACACAAGGTTTCGCAAAGGATAAGGATCTGGCATGTGTCTAGGGTCGGCCCAACCAACCCTATACCCTCAACCCTAAACCCGATAAACCCGATAAACCCTAAAGATGTAACTCTAGGTCCCTGATACACTCGCAACCCTTCCTGCAGCCTATGCCTCAACACCTCCCTCCCCCCCGCGCTCCCCTGCCCACCCCGCACCCCCATTGACAACCCCCCCCCCCCCCCCCCCGCCCAAATGGCCCCCCGCACCCCCCAAAAAACAAAAACAAAATACCCCCACCCCCCCCCCCCACCACCACCCCACCCACCGAAAAAACAAAAAACACCCCCCCCCCCCCTCGAATACAAAAAAAATCACAAACCCTACGAGGCCCAAACCCGAAAGCCCCAAACTTGCCACCCCCCCCCCAAAAAAAAAACCTAAATTCGGTGAGTTTTAGGGTTTTAGGGTTTGGGGTACCGACGTGGTATGTGCTTGGGCGATAGACTTTAAAGCTGCTATTTAGGAACCCAGATTTACATGTAAAGCTCATGCATTTACTGCATTAGATGCTAGGAAGAGAATCGGTACCCTTTTTGTTTTAAAGGGGCTTAACCGTAAGGGAAGCTACACCCTAAACCCTCAAGCCTCTGCAACTTGAAGTTGTTTAAACAAGTACAAAAAGGCACTTTCCTTGACACTTTCCTCAAAAACATTCCTCGAAACATTCCCCGGACCCGAACCCTAAATAATTTCAACAAACCCTATAAACCCGATTACAAACCCGATTATAAACTCTATGATGAACCCTCTGATACACGCTGTTATACACCCTATCATAAACCCCATTATAAACCCTATTCTAAAGCCTATAAACCCTTTCATAAACCCTACAAACCCTATTAGAAGCCCAAAAAGAAAAGGAGGAAATTATGGGCACAAAAACCCTAAACCCTAAACCCTAAACCCTAAGCCCTAAACCCTAAACCCTAAACCCTAAACCCTGAACCCTACACACAAGGATCCTCAGGAACCCAAACACAGCTTTGCTCCTCCTGGCTGCTGTCCAGGCATAAGGCCGCCCGTGGACTTGGGCATGTTCTGCATTCCCATACCTCAAGGGTTTAGGGTTTAGGGTTTAGGGTTTCGGGTTTAGGGCTTAGGGACGGTATTAACAGGGGCTTTCATGATTAGAATGGGGTTGGCGGGGGTTATCATGGCATCAATGTTATAGCAGGGTTTAGGGCATAGGGCTTCTCAATTGACTCGCTTTTGGGTGTTGGCCTGTCTTGTGGTGCTTCTTGAGGAGGGTTTAGGCTTTAGGCTTTAGGCTTTAGGCTTTAGAGAAGGAAGGCTGTGTTAGAAGTCGCTCTTTTGGGCTTCTTTTGCGAAATGAGCGATGAGCAGGGCCTCCAGTTCAGGGACCTCCGAAGCGAACATTAGAGCCTTAACCATAAGCATAGGATAATATGATTCTATAGGGACCCTAAGGAAATACCATTCAACAAAATTACTCCTAGAAAAAGCATCTTGATAAAAAAGTAGTATTATTAACAGTCATAGTAATTATTCCGGCCCCCTACTGTAGGGCCCCTGCCACAGCCTCCGCCCATGCCCTTGCCACCCATCCTTGGCACAGGTGATGATCTGGGCTGGGAAGGGAGGGAGGTTAGGGGAGGAACCCTAAACCCTAAAAAGGGAGGTTAGGGGAGGAACCCTAAACCCCTAAACCCTGAACGCCCCAAAAAGTCCAGAGATTTTGGGTCCCAAAGTGGGAGACCTTCACTTTGAGTATCCTTTCTTACCTGAGAGTTCTTACAGAGTTTTTAGATGGGACCATTGCAAGTACGCGTCTTAGAATGGACTTGAGTATCAGGGGGGGGGGGGGGGGGGGGGGGGGGGGGGGGGGACCTAAACCCTAAATTCCTTACAGCCCTGAAGCGTGAACCCCTCTCAGGCCCCTCTAGAACCTATATACCCCATAGTTGGCCCTACAGATCCATAAGACCCCCCCTGCAGGTCCATAAGACCCGACCCCCCCCCCCCCCAAAAAAAAAAAAAAAAAGAAGGAAGGCGCTAAGAGCTGCACCCCATACCGCCTCCCATAGGTGGCGGGCCCATTCCTTTCCCCATGCCACCTGATGAGTTGCCGCAGTCTGGGGGGTTAGGGTTTGGGGTTTAGGGTTTGGGGCTTGGGGCTTGGGGTTTGGGGTTTGGGGTTTGGGGTTTGGGGTTTGGGCCATTTAGGGTTTAGGGTTTAGGGTTTGGGGTTCGGGTTTTGGGGGTTTAGGGCTTTAGGGTTATAGAGTTATAGAGTTACCTTGTGGCTGAGTTTCTAGGACCCCAGAAAGGGCCTCACTGGGATGTCTAAAGGTGAGCCGTTCATGTTTATGGGGGGGTATGCGATTCCCACAACAAGGATGCTACTGACTCAGCTCCTACTTCAAACGGAGTTATGGTTCATGGTGGTTGAAAGTTGGCTCAGGTTTTGCAGGCTTTTGTGCGGCGTCAAACGAAGTTGTTGGGGGCTTCGGATTTTTGTGCTCTAGAGGGCTTTGAGCTGAAGCATCCGGTTGAGGACCCGAGGGGAGCCCCCCCACGAAGCGTCCAAGAATCTTCAACGGGAGTTCGTTGATGAAAGCTGAACAGACCTGCTTCGCCACAGAAGGAGGCTGAGTCCCTATACCAGGATAGGCTATCGGGCCCTATAATCCCAAGAATCAACCCTGTAAAGGGCCTTTTAAGGGGATATTATAGGGTATAATGGCCCGTCCTGGTAAGAGGTGCTGTGCCCTTGTTTTGGCATCTGAGCAGCGCTCTCCTGTCAGGTCGCTCACGGAGGCTGTGCTGAGCCCTGACTGTCGGATCTCCCAGGATACGAGCTCCTTCACGTTGTCCGGCAGAGGAAGCATGGCGCGCCGCTTGGACTTCACATAATCCCAGGCCTGCCTCAGGGTCATGCCTCTTAGGGCCATCATTAGCGCCACGACCACTGTGGGGCTGCGGTTCGAGCCGTTGGCGCAGTGGACCAAAGTCGCGACGCCTTCCGGCGCCTCACGAAGGAAGTGGATGGCCTGGTCGAAAGCCCTCGAAATCCCAACGTCGCCGCCGAAGTCGGTGACGTCCAGCCTGCAGTACTTGATTTCGGGGTCATCGGGAAAGAAGCACGGGACGTCATCCGCCACATTCAAGATTCTCTGCACCGAGTGGCGGCGCAGCTGTTCTCGGTTGGAGGCATCCGCCCCACTCCCAAGCCATATGACCGGGTCTTCCTGCGTGATCTGGGAGGCCCAAATCTCTCCTGACTCCATGTCGCGACGCCTTTGGAGGGCAGCTTGCAGCTCCATGTCACCACTTGCACCTCGTGGCCTTCAACACCTGTTCCGATGTGGATGTGCTGCTCTGAGAAGGGCCGAAGATGGGGATCGCCATGAACACACGACCTGCTGCCTCAGAGCCCCTGCAAGAGGGTTTAGGGTTTAGGGTTTAGGCTGCCCCAGAGAGAGTCCGAGCAGAAACTTGTCGACTTGGCCATTGAAGTCTCCGGCCGACCCTGGAAACTCATCAGAGTCCCCTGCCTTCCCCCTGAAACCCCGCAAAACAGTCCTTCCACCCTAAACCCTACACCCTACACCCCACACCCCGAACCCTAAACCCTAAACCCTCAACCCTCAACCCTCAACCCTCAACGCTCAACCCTCAACCCTCAACCCTAAACCCTAAACCCTCAACCCTCAACCCTCAACTACCCTCAACCCTCAACTGCCCTCAACCCTAAACCCTAAACCCTAAACCCTCAACCCTAAACCCTAAACCCTAAACCCTAAACCCTAAACCCCAAACCCTAAACCCTACCACCAGAGGCAAGTGAAGAGTCTCAGGCCCGTGCCAGGTCCCATCGGGCCCATCCCGCCTTTGCCGCCCATGGGGCCCATGCCAGGTCCTGAGCCGTGAGGTGGTCACAGTATACAAAGATGTAACAATAAGAGACGGTTTAGGATTTAGGGTGTAGGGTTTAGGGTTGAGGGCTTAGGGTGGGTTTAGGGTTTAGGGTTTAGGGTTGGGGGTTGGGGGTTGAGGGTTTGGGGTTGGGGGTTTGGGGTTTAGGGTTTAGGGTTTAGGGTTTGGGGTTTGGGGCGGGGGGGGGGGGGGGGGGGGGGGGGGGTTTAGGGCACAATAGCATCAAAAAAACATCATGCACTTGTATAGTAGCAATTAAATTGTTTGTACTAGGGTCGAATACTGCAATAGTAAAATGCCATCATACAATTGTTTCGAAACCATGCATGTGTTTTATAATCTTGGGTTGAGGTCTTCGGGGTGATTTGCCCCCGACCCCATGTGCTGTACACTGTATGCATGTACGCACACACACACATGTCATGTGTGTATATATATACACATGTAAACATGTTTCTTAGGTATTCCAATGTCTATGCACACACATGACATATATATATATATATCATATATATGTACAACTCAGTGCATGCATGCATGCATGCATGAATGTGCGCATCAAAAACATCCGGAAGCTGCTGCCCCAACACAACAAAGGGGTTAGTATTTAGGGCAACCTAAACGCAACACCCCTAAACCCTAAACCCTAAACCCTAAATCCTCAGGGCCCTGCCCATGCCGCCCATGCCGCCCATGCCGGCAGGCCCCGCCATGCCACCACCCATACCAAGACCTCCGGGAGTTTAGGGTTTAAGGTTTCGGGTTTAGGGTTGGGTAGTGTTTAGGGTTTAGGGTTTGGGGTTTAGGGTTTAGGGTTTAGGGCTCAGGGGTTTAGGGTTTAGGGTTTAGGGTTAGGGCTCAGGGGTCTAGCGGTTTTTGGGGGTTCAAGGGGTTTAGGGGACCAGGGGGAGCAAAGGAGGGGATTTAGAGTCTTGCAGAGTTCAGGGTTCACAATTGGACGTTCTTGCTCCGAGGTGCGAGCATTTTTAATAAGCGCGTTGAGCGAGTAGTTCGTCAAGATACATCATCAATGCTGTTGGCTGATCATATGTGGTGCTTCCAGCCACAAAGGTTCAAGCCGAAAATCCAGACACCACGTAATCTTTCTGGAGTGCCGTATCCAAGTTTAACCTTGAATTGGTACAACTCCAAACCCTAAACCCTAACCCCTAAACCCTAAACCCTATAAGATTTCGCTCAGAGGTGAAGATGGCGGAGGGCTACAAGCCATTGCACGCCCTCACAGGGCTCGTTCTAAATCGGGGGTCTGGGGGTCCCTTTTGTAGGGCTTAGGGCTTAGGGCTTAGGGCTTAGAGTTTAGGGTTTAGGGTTTAGGGTTCAGGGTTTAGGGTTTAAAGGGTTTTTCTTGGGAGCCGCTTCACTGCAAGGAGGAAGGGCGGGGGCTCAAGGAGCTGACAGGCTTGCAATTTTCAAGATCTAGGGTGTAGACTTTCGGGCTTAGGGGGACTCAAACCCTAAACCCCAAACCCTAAACCCTATACCCTAAACCCTTTCTCCGATGTTTAGGGCTTAGGATGGTTTTTATTTTCTGGGTATTTGTTTAGGGTCTCTGGGTCTTAGGTTTAGCGTTTGTAGGGTTTATTGCTTTGGGGTTTCGGGAGCCAACGCCGTGAACCCCCGAGCCCCCACTCAGCCGAGAGGCCTCCTCCCAATGGTGGTCCCATGCCCTTTCCGCCCATGCCTCGCTTTGGGGGTTTGAAGTTTTAGGGTTCTAGGGTTTAAGGGTTTTTGGCCTTAGAGGTTTTTAGAGGTTTTAGGTTTTAGGGATTTTAGGGGTTAGGGTTCAGGGTTTAGGGTTGGAGGGCTACATGGCTACTGTTGGCCTCAATGAAAAGAGTTGTGATTTAAGCGACGGGAATGGGGAAAGCCCTAAAGCTCTAAAGCCCTCATGTTCAAGCCCAGAACGACACGACAAATCCGCACCCTCAACTCAAACTACCTGTAAACCACTGCACCCTCCCCAACAGGGGCGGCGGGTAGGGCCCAATTTGTCGATTATATGGTGGCCGCTCTACCCTAAACCCTGCCCACAAAAGCCCCAACCCTACCCCTAAACCCTAAACCCTAAAAGCCCTAAACGATGGTAGCCCGCCCCCCCCCCCCCCCCCCCCCCGTGGTGTGGTTGTGGTTGGTTTTAGGTTTTAGGGCGGTTTAGGGATTAGAGTTTAGGATTCAGGCTTATTTAGGGTTTTGGTTTGGTTTAGGGGAGACCGTAGACCATGAGGGGGGGGGGGGGGGGGAGGGGGGGGGAGAACGCACAGCGCACAACCATATCATTGCGGACCATCATGCCCAGTCAGCCGAGGATTCACGAAACCTGGGGGCGAAATCCGACGAAACCCCAGGTCACAAGGAAGACGACTATTGGGGCTCATTGACTTTAGGGCCTGTAAAGACCCTAAACCCTAAACCCTAAACCCTAAACCCTAAACCCTAAACCCTAAACCCTGAACCCTGAACCCTAACCCTACAGCCCTAGACCCGAAAGTTTAGGGGAGAAAGATTCGGGCTGAGGCCCCTATAAGTCCCAGCCATCCCCCGGCCTCCGCCCAAGGGGCCGCCTTTGCCGCCCATGCCACCGATGGGTTGCATGCCGCCCCTTGGCAGGTCCAAGTATGACAACCCTAAACCCTAAACCCTAAACCCTAAACCCTAAACCCTAAACCCTAAACCCTAAACCCTAAACCCTAAACCCTTGCAAGTCGCTCTAGAGAGCAGGGCCTTCCAGTCGTCGGGTTCAGAATTTTATAGGACCTTTCCAATTTATCAGGCTCAGAATATTTAGGGCCACCTGGTGGCACGCGCCAACGTCGAGAGCAACACCACCAAGTTTGTGAGGTTCCGATAATCCTGCTTGAGATGAGAACTAACCCTAGACTAATTAAATCCTAAACCCTAAACCCTAAACCCTGCTACTCGAAGCAATGGGACAACCAAGGCACGCCCCTGTCACTCTATGTAGGGGTGCCGTCGTATTATTGTACGGCTATTGAACTTATACTATTGTTCGTATTCACACTATTCGGTCCCTTTTTGTCTTCTATTTTTTCATCTTATTCTGGGCAGGTCGGGCAGAAAGGCCTCTAGGCCGTGAAGGCTGCAAGTGTACCCCCCCCGCAGTGGTAGGTGGGTTACTTAGTTGTCCAGTACCTAGGGTTTTAAAGGCTAACCTTTGGGATTATAGGGGGAATATTACCCAAAAGAGGTTAAAGGTTACCTACTCTACTACTAAGGTCATGTGAGGCCAGCACAAGCCACCTCCGCCGTACCCAGGGCCGCCCACGGGAGTCTGGAGGGACAATCCGGGTTTAGGGTTTCGGGGTCCTACTAGTTACTTAAGAACCCCAAAAGAATAGAATATGATAATCCCCATATTACCCTTATAAGGAAGAGTCTTTTTTTCTTGGGGGGGGGGGGGGTTCGTAAGCAATAGTAGGTTCAGGGTGAAGGACTTCAGGCCATGTAAGCTCACGAAGGGGGGACCCCTGCAATCGGGAGAGACCAACACTTCCCGAAAACTTCTGGGCTTTGGGGGTTTGGGTTTAGAGATCCGGGCCTGTGATCTGACGACGCTAGTGTTTCGGGTCCCCATGTGCGTGCACAATTGGGGAAGGCCCGTGAGAAACTCTGACCCTGTTAAATTTAAACTCCAAAAGAATCCCCAAACCCCCGGGCTGTGGCTCTGCCCAGGGAGCCTGGTTGTCTTTGATCCAGTTCTGCACATGGGCCTGCCAAGGAGCTTAGGGTTAAGGGTTTAGGGTTCAGGGTTTAGGGCTTCGGGTTTAGGGACGAAGCAATCACATGAACGAGGACCTTGCAGTCGCCTCACTGAGCTGGCTTGGGCACCCGCCTAACCTATCACCACACCTGAAACCTTAAACTTGGCCCTAGTATGTATATATATATAGATATGGTATACATAAATATGACATACATAAACATATATATATGTATATATATATATACACACCCAAGAAGCCCACTAAACACTGCAAGCCCCACCCCGCCAGATCTGTGAACATGTGAGCCCTGTGAAGCCTAAACGCTTGTGCAGCTCCCAGCCCTGAATGCCACCGAGACCTCCAGCATTGACATAAATGAATCAATAAATAAATATATATATATATATACATATCATATTTATTTGTTCATCTAAATTTATTTATTTATTTGCATTTATTATGTATATTTATCAGCAAACTTATTCATGTCTTCCATGCACATTTATGTATCTGCGTCGTAACTTCAGGTTCCTCCTTCCCACGGCAGGAGTGATAGTTGGGGCGGGGTTTGAAGTTCAGAGGGTTCAGGGAGGTCAGAAGAGTCTCTCGCAGCCTTCGCTCGCTCACGGGCCGTGGGGTCAGCGGCCGTGATCACAACTGCCTTGCCACCACCTGCTGAGCTGCCCCAAACCCCTAGACTCCCCGGCATCTTGCTAGAGTAGACAAAAAAGTGACCGAAATATTCTGAAGTGCTCTGGAGCTTGAAGGCTTCAAGCCTATAACCCTAAGCCTGGCACCCTAAGCCCCCCCAAATGCCTGAGCCCCGAAAATCAAGCCGAGCACTTGCCTGGACCCTCAAAGTTCCCAAAGAACTGGCCCGTGGCCCCCAAAACTAAGAAGGAAATTCAAGCACCCTTGACCTGCTTGAAGGCATCACTGGACAATAATTAAAACCCTAAACCCTAAACCCTAAACCCTAAACACTAAACCCTAAACCCCCATGGGCCAGGACAATAATTAACAAAGGAAGGGGCCTGGCTGCACCACCGAGTCCATGTTGATCTGCGCCCCAGTGTCCGCAGCCATCTTCTTGATGGTCGCGCCGGCAGGGCCTGCTGGGGGGAAAGGCCTCAACCCCAAACCCTAAACCCTCAACCCTAAACCCTAAACCCTAAACCCTAGACCCTAGACCCTAGACCCTAGACCCTAAACCCTAAACCCTAACCCTAAACCTTAAGTCCGAAACCGATGGAGTAGAGAGCCTTTGGGTCTCATATTGTAAGAGACTGAAATCCTAGGTGTGCCGATCTTCTTGATGATGTAATTCTTGTGGCGAGAAATCCCCGCCTATGATCTTGCCCACCAAATGGCCGGGGACGATGATCGTCTTATCGACCTGGGTGGCAGGATGTGGATTGGAGACTTTTTGGTGCTGCAACTCCGTCTTGCCTCCCAAACCTCCTACACCCTAACCCCTGTAACCCTAAACCCTAAACCCCTGTAACCCTAAACCCTAAACCCCTGTAACCCTAAACCCGAAACCCCTGTAACCCTAAACCCCTGTAACTCTAAACCTTAAACCCCTGGGCCCTGAAGCACCCATGCCATGTGTTGAAAGATTCCTCGGCGCTCACCCCGATGGAAGAATTGGGTATTGAGATTTTCGTATAGAATGTAAGCGTGCAGGATGTATAGGGGCCTGCTTAATTAGAATACGGTTTTTGGGGCGATTATAGTATAGTTATAAAGGAACCCTCAGGGAATGCTAGGTATTCCGACCGCTATATCAGGGTGGCTTCGGGTTCGGGTTTGGGGTTTAAAGTAACCCGGATTCTGCCACACCGAGCTTTCCACGTTGCTCTGGCCGGCTCCTGAGGCAAAGGAGGAGGGTCTAGGGCTTCTACTTGGAGGTCCATGGTACCTACTCACCAGTTATAACTGTACTTATGACTGGAATTATATCCATATTAGGGCACTTAAGGGGCTTGTAAGTCTTTTATAAGTACAGCTATAATTTGGTTAATAAGTACCCTGAACCAGCAAGTAGGGCATCCTGCGTAGCTCTGAAGGGCAGACTCGACCTCTCGTTAGCAGTTCCTAAACGCCCAAAAACCTCGACCTAAACCCTAAACCCTAAACCCTCACTTTTTCTGATAGCAAGCGCCAAAACCGCAGCTGTACGACCCTTGCGCTTCTAGGACCCCTGCACATCTACAACCCAGGCTGGATTTGTTCCTAGGGTTTGGGGCTCGGGTTATAGTTTGGGAAATCCACCAGTTGTTATCCGTTAAGCCATGAGCAGGGGCGCGCCTAACCTTTTTACTCAGAGGGCTTGAGCGGCACAAGTAAGTGCAACATACATGGAAGCAAAAGTGGAGGGAATGCACAGATATAAAATACACCCCCCTCGTTGAAGCGTGAGAATGCTGAAACGCAGTCAACGAATCCACGGCAAGCACTACGTGCTGCATTTTGCTCTTCTACTGTATGTTCAAAGTGCGCTCACCCGAGTTTTAATTCAGGTTCAACGCCACAGATCACCGCGCACCAGCTTAAGAAATTTGAAACGCTGGCGGGGATACAAAGGTGGCTCGTGCAATACAGTGGTTCACTCAGCATCGACCTCAAAAGAAAGGAAAACAGAGCGTCGTGGTCAAGATGCTAAGCTACTTTATTAAAAAAGCGGAACTCAGGACTCACCAGCTGCGATCTCGATGGTCGTAGCGCCAAGGTCCACGGGAGTGCTCCGTACTGCGACTCCCCGAGCTCCACCAGGATCCTTGATCCTGCCACTGGCGATCACGCCAGGAACTTGAGGAATGCCAGTCGTCCTGCGACCAAGAGTTGTCGCTCCACGACCAGCCACGATTCGTGTCACGATCGGCCTCCCCATAACGGGGGGCATTTTGCGGTGCCTTTCTTGCATCCGCCCGCGCCTGAGCGGCCCGGGACGCCTCTGCCGATTCCTTCATCTTTCGGCACGTTTCCTTTGCCCCACCATAATTCTCAGAGAGGATCTCGGCCAAAAAGACTGCCAGATGCTCTTCCTCATCGAAGTCCGGGATGCCAATGATGCCCTCCGTGAAGGTGAGGATGTGGGAAACTGCACGAGTGACGCGGATGATCCGGGCGAATTCCTTCACGCCCATGAAGTTGCCGAGCCAAGCGTAGCCCATAGGTTCGAGGTTGGGGTCGTCGATGAGGCCGGCCAGGACGAGATCGTCGGCATTCTTGTCGAAGAACGCCATGCGAGCCAGGCCCTCATGATTGACCTTTTTATTCTCCCAGGCCTTGTTGGAGCCGTAGCCCAACTCACGTTGTTCGCGGGAACGACCTTGATTGGGAAGATAAGCGCATGCCACGCAGTCCTGAATAGTGAGCCGCCTTCTCGTCCAGCCGCCCTTGATAGCGTGGATCGCGTAGGTGTCGTCCTGGTCGAACTTGTCCACCATCGACGTGTAGCCGTGCTTCATGAAGCCTTTGAGATTTTGGCGTGCCAACATGATAGCTCGGCCATCTACGCTCTGCTGTCCCCTCAAATCATGCGTTCCAGCGGCCTGGCGAATCTTCGCGGCATCCATCTCCCAAAGGCCCTTTCCAAACTGCTCTGCCAGGGCGTCCAAGACATGGGAGCGCTCACGCGCCATCCACATTCTGAAGGCACTCTGGGTGGCCCCACGGGTGACGTAGTAGCCGCAGTGGAAACACTTATGCTGACCTTCGAGACGAAGCTTGCCACAATTGACGCACTGAATCTGCGTGATTTCCCTCTTCCATCCAGGACGCGGCGCTTGTGTTGCCGGTGCCGTAGAGCGGGTAGCCACTCCTTCATCAGGGACCACTTGCAACTGACCTTCAGTCAAACGGTTCCTTCCTGAAGGCGACACCTCGATGACATCGGCGTCGGTGTTGAAGCGAACGTGTAGAGGTGGAAGTTCAGGAACGGTGCTCTCGACCTCCTCAAGGATGGGAACGTCGAACTCCTCCTTGACCAATGGGGCTTCTTCATGCTCGACACCAGGCTCCTCCTGCACTTCTTGGAGAGGTCCCACGGCTTCAACGACCATGCTTCCGGAAGATTCGGCCTCCTCTACATGAGGGGCATTCTCTTCCTCCTCCTGTCCCTCAGGTCCATCCGCGGCAGACCACAAGATTTCATCGGTCCTTGTGTCGCGGATGTAGAGAACCGTCGATCCAGAGATCGCTTCTCTGCAGAGGACGCCCTCGGACCGTGAGTAGAACAGTCCAGCGCCTTGCCTGAGGGCATCCATGGTGTTGACGACCACCTCCACGGGGCGATCGCTTCTCACGCCAGGGACATTTTCTCCCGGCCCTACCTCCCGGTCGGCAAAATACACAAAGGCATTCGCGGTGTGGTGCCCGGGGATAAAGCAGGAGTCCAAGATGGCAAAGGCTCGGTCCTTGTAGGTGCGGTGATAGAGCCTGCGTGGAATCTTCTCCAGGGGCAAAACCGGCCGACCTTCCCAGGTGGCAGAAAGCTCATCCATCTCTGCTTCTGGGATCATGCTGAACCAGGCCTCCGCAAGGATCGAGTCGGGCACCCCTTTCATAGCATCTTTGGAGATGCCTTGGTTCGCCCTAATAAGGGTAGGGTAGCCTCCTAGGCCGTAGTACTCGGCGAGGGGGTGGTTGCGGTCAATTCGCAGCTGGAACCTGCTGCGGTTGTCGTTCTTGACGACAGTGAGGAGCATCCCGAGGCCATAATCCTTGTTCGTCTTCTTGTTCCAGGCCTCGAGGATCTTCCTTGTAGAGCACCACAATCCATCGCCCTGCAGACCTGGGACGACCTTGCCGCGGACAATACCGGACAAGGCAGTCTTGTGATGCTGGGGAATGTGGATATACTTGAAGTTCGGCATCTCGTCCTGAAGGATGTCAATCCACTCGGCCTCACCTTCCGGTGGGCATAAATGGATTGTGTCCCAGTCGAGGCCCAGCATGTCGACGAGGCACCAATCGTCATCGGTTGCGTAGTAGCCGGACTTGATGGGCTCGTCGTAGACAGCCTCGTGTGGGCCCTTCTTTGCCCGCTTGGGGGCACTGGACTCAGGGTCGGTCCGCTGACGACTGTAGACCTCCCCCCTGGCCAAGAGCTTCTCCTTAGTCTCCCGCGCCGTTGACGACGATGACGGAACAACGACGGCCTCCCCTGGACGGGGGGCATTTTCCTCGCTCTTCTTGATCATCTCGTCGTAGTCCTCGCGGGTAACATATTCCCCATCTCCCAGGTGAACGTGGTCCTTGAAGTCCCGGTGGACAAAGTGGTTCGGCGCGGTGTCGGGGAACTGCTCCTGGGGTCCTTGGAAGTAGATGTCGTCCCACGGGTCAGCCTCGACAAGCGGCTGATGCGTGGGCTCTACTCTTCCTTTACGGAAGTGGTTCAGGAGCTTCTCCTCCACCTGCACGTCCACAGCGAACTTGACGTTAGGCTTTGAGACGTGGCCGTAGTTCTGCAGGACCAGGTCGATGTCGGCTTCCTTGAAGAAGGAGCATTGGTGACGAAGGACCATAATCCTGGCGGTAAAACCCAACCACCTCAACAGCTGCAAACGATAGGCGCTGTCCTCCTGGAAGTGAAAATGGTCGAATTTGCGGATCTGGCTCGCAGGCGTATTGAAATGCTTGACGGCCAGCCCAAGTTGGGCGGCGTAGTCGAGCAAATCCGCCATGATGGTACCCCAATCGCGCGGGAGGTAGTAGTTGGCAGCGTCGGTCGCAGACGTGAGCAGCACAGTACCCACTGACGCCCGTGACTGTAGATCCGCCAACTTGCCTATCTCCCGGAGAACCTTTGGTCCAATGAACTCCCAGCTCCCCTTTGCCATGCGCGGGTAACCACGAAGCCACTCCGTCTTGCTCTTGAAGCCTGGGTCCAAAAACAGACCCCTGTCGCCGACGAACTCGTTCCCGTTCCAGATCATCATGAGGTCAATGCTCACCTGACCACTGGCGCCAGTTTCACGTTCCAGTTGGGTGATTTTTCCCACGGCGAGCTCTACGAGCCGCGTGAGATTCGCACCCCATGTAGGAATGTACTCAACGCCAAGATGATGTGGGAACGCATTGCCGCGGTTGGCCTTGATGTCTGCCAGCAGATCTGTCTTCCAATTTCCTTCAGTGAGGAACGTAGTTGTAGAGTCTGCGACGATGACAAGGTAGCGCAAACGGCCTCGAGTAGACTCGGGCTGGAGCATGGCCAAGCCTTGATCGGTGAGTCTTCCAATTTTGGCCACCAAACCAGCCTCCCTGACGTCACTGAGGGCATATTCGCATGCCAGTGGCCGCGGCAAATATTTGTAGAAGTTGTTCACGCTGGCTTCATCCTCCTGGAAAGGCGCCATGGTGCGGTATTCGGAAGACAATGAAGTCTCCCATAACCGCCGATCCCACCACTGGCGCAGGACCTCCGTCGGTGCAACGATTCCAGCGTTGGTGGCTTCCATGTCCGGCGCGCAGAAAACTGCCGCGAGAATGCAGCAGGCAGCTAATGCGTTAGTTTGTTCAGTTTTGTGAGTGCAGGCGTGTTTGTGGTTACACGAAAATTGTTGTTGTGCACATGCCGCATAATTAGAACGCCTATCGCAAAAGCTTTTCCAATCAATGTGGATGCAATCAGTCATGGCATGTGAATAGTTCTCACTGTCCTTAAGGTCCTGGCCTCTAGACTCGCCATGAACATGACTGCGATCACACTTGTGCGCTGCCAGCCGCTGCAATGGAATCGACGACGCAATGGTCCAAGCTTTCCTTAGTGGGAATCCTTGGTGATTCGTAATCCCCAACATGCAACCATCGCAACGGTAGAACTCAAGTCCAAGGTCATTAACCATATGTTGAACATGGTCCCACT